AAAGCCAGCTGAATATAAGACAGAGCCACCTAAACCCACCACACCAAGCAGGTTTCCTCAGCCTCAGACTATAATACTGTATGGGTCCTTTGCAAAGCTATAGAGAAAAAGCTGCAGTCATTAGTCCCAGATCCTTGACAAAGGGCTGGTTAACCACAACCCCAGGAATTCCCATTCCAATTTCACCTTACCTGCTCATCTAGCCAAAGATGAAAAACAATCATGAGGCAGAATCAGCAGAAAAACTCTGGCAACATGAATAGTCAGAGTAGATCAACTCCCTAAAGAAATGATATGGCAGATACAGCACAAGATCCCATTCACAAAGAAATGGCTGAGATGTCAGAAATCAAGTTCAGAATTTGGATAGCAAATATGATCAACAGAATGGAGGTAAGGATGGAATTAGAATTTCAAGGAGTAATTCAAAAGATGTCTCAAGAATTCAATGAATTCAGGATTGGCACCTGTGGCTCAAACGACTAAGGTGCCAGCCACATACACCTGAGCTGGCAGGTTCGAATCCAGCCTGGGCCTGCCAAACAACAATGACACCTGCAACCAAAAAATAGCCAGGCATTGTGGCAGGTGCCTGTAGTTCCAGCTACTTGGGAAGCAGAGGCAGGAGAATCGCTTGAGCCCAGGAATTGTGAGCTGTGATGCCACAGCACTCTACCCAAGGGGACAGCTTGAGGCTGTCTCAAAGAAAAAAAAAAAAGAAATCAACGAATTCAAAAACAAAATCACCAAAGATTTTGACACATTGAGGCAAGAACTAGCAGCCCCCAAAGATCTGAGAAATACATAGAATCCCTCAGTAACAGAGAGCAGGCAGAAAAAAGGATCTCTGACATTGAAAACAAAGCTTTTGGGGGCAGCGCCTGTGGCTTAAAGGAGTAGGGCACCAACCCCATATGCCAGAGGTGGTGGGTTCAAACCCAGCCCCGGCCAAAAACTGCAAAAAACAAACAAACAAAAAAAAAAAAAAGAAAAAAAGAAAAGAAAACAAAGCTTTTGAACACTCCCAAACGTTCAAAGAGGAAAAAAAGTGGAAAACGAAAACGGATCATTCTCTCAGAGAGCTCTGGGATAATTTGAAGAGATCTAATATTCACCTTATAGGAATACCTGAAGGTGATGAGGTTGCTGCGAAGGGTACAGATGCTTTACTTCATGAAATAATCAATGAGAACTTTCTAGACATGCCAAGAGATTCTGAAATTCAGATAGCAGACAGTTTCAGAACACCAGCATGACTCCACCCCAAATTCTCATAGACACATTATAATTAGCTTCCAGTTTTATAGTTTCCAGCCTTAAATAATTTTGATTTTATTTTTGTATATGGTGTGAGAAAAGTGTTCAATTTTATTCTTTTGAACACAGATATCCAGCTTTTCAACATCATTTATTGATGTGTTTTTGACACATTTGTCAAAACTCAGTTGATCGTAAATGTGCAGATTTGTTTGTAAATCCTGTGCCATTGCTTAATGTGTCTTCTTTTTTTTCCGATGCCCATACCTTGCTGTTTTCATTGCTACACGTTTGTTATATATTTTGAAATGATGTAGTGCGATGCCCCCTTTGTTCTTACTGTTCAAGATTGCTTTGGCAGTTAAAACTTTTTTGGTTTCATATAAATTTTAGAATATTTTTCTTTCTTTCTTTTTTTTTTTTTAGAATATTTTTCTAGTTCTGTGAAAAGGAACATTGGAATTTTGATAGGAATAGCAATGAATACGTAGACTACTTCATTAGTATTGACATTTTAACAATACTAATTCTTCCAATTCATGAACACAGGGTAAATTTTCACTTGTTTGTAATCTTCACTTTTCTACATCAATGTTTTATGGTTTTCAGTGCAGATCTTTCACACTTTGGGTTAAATTTACCTCTAAGTTTTTTCTTTGTTTCATTTGATGTTATTGTAATAGGGATCTTTAAAATTTCTTTTCCAGATAGTTTGTTGTTAGTGCATAGAAAAATTACTGATTTTGATTTATGTACCTTTACTAATGTCTTTTATTAGTTATAATAGAGTTTTGGTTGAGTTTTTAGGACTTATGTCTTTAGAATCATGTCAACAGACATAATTGATATCTTTCTTTTCTATTTGGATGTCTTTTATTCCTTTTTATTGCCTAATTTCTCTGTAAAAGGTTTCTATTATGCATAATAGAATAGAAGTGATAAGAGTGGGTATACATGTTTTGTTCCAGATCTTAGTGAAGGAGCTTTCAGTTTTTCATCTGTGAGTATGATGTTGGCTGTAGGCCTTTGATATATGCCTTTATTGTGTTGGGGTATGTTCATGAAGAAAATTGAACAATGCAATAATGAGTAAGGTAGCTAAATGAAGCTCAAGTTTCCCATAAATGAAAAGCTCAACACCTGATGGCTTCATGGCTGAATTCTGCCACTAACCTAGAGAAAAACTACTACCTATCATTCTCAATTCCCAAAATATTGAAAAGCAGAAAATAGTTTCAAACTCATTTCCCAAGGCCAAGATTACTGTAATTTCTTAATTCCAAAGTCAGAAAGGGACTTGTAAGATAAGAATACTACATAGGTGCTTGCTTCAGCAGCACATATATTAAAATTGGAACGATACAGAGAAGATTAGCATGGTCCCTGCACAAGGGTGACATGCAAATTCGTGAAGCGTTCCATATTTTTTTTTTTAAAAAGAATACTACATAGCAGGCTGGGTGCCTGTAGCTCAAGTGGCTAAGGTGCCAGCCACATACACCAGAGCCAGTGGGTTCGAATCCAGCCTGGGTCTGCCAAACAACAATGACAACTACAACCAAAAAATAGCTGGGCATTGTGGTGGGCGCCTGCAGTCCCAGCTACTTGGGAGGCTGAGGCAAGAGAATCGCTTAAGCCCAGGAGTTGGAGGTTGCTGTGAACTGTGATGGCACAGCACTCTACCCAGGGCGACAGCTTGAGGTTCTGTCTCAAAAAAAAAAAAGAAGGAATACTACAGGGCAATATCATCAATAAGCAAAGATGCAAAAATCTTCAACAAAATACTGCCAAACCTAATTTAACATCACATTATAAAAGTGATCATTCACCATAATCAAGTGGGCTGTATTCTTGAGTGTCAGAGTGGTTCAACATACACAGATCAACAAATGTGATATTCTACATTAACAAAATAAAGACAAAAATTATGGTAACCTCAGTATACACACAAACAAAATTTAAAAATCAACATTCTTTCATGATAGAAAGTCCTAGCAATGCTATACATTTTCCATCAAAAACTGACTTTGCTGTATCCAAAAAAATGTTTAAGTCATATTTATTAGTGTCTAAATATATTCTAAACTAAACTTCTCTTGTACATTTTCTCTGATCTATATGCTATTTGTACATGTATTGTTGTATCTCCAAAGGGTTTTGGATTTCTTAGCTACCTCTCTGCTATTAATTTTTATTTTAATTTCATTATGGTCTGAGAGCATATATTTTATGGTTTTTATTCTTCTAAACTTGTCAAGGTGTGTCTTATGACCCAGTCTGTGCACCCTTTTGGTGAATGTTCCTTCCATGTAAGTTTGAGAAGTTCGTGTTGGACGAAGTATTTTATAGAATGCTTTCTGTATAATTATAGAATCTCTACATGCATGATAATTTTTATTAGAGTCCAGATGTTTTTAATTTTATATTATTATGTATTGGGTATTTAGATTATATATTTTAAACTTTGTTTTAAAAGCAGTTTAATATTTTTTTCATTTGTTTTTAAGCTTCATCAGACAGGACCAGAGTCTAGGGCTAACTATCCCCTCTATTGCATCAAAACTTTCAGGTAGCTCTGCTTACTGCCCCATGAATTAGTTACTATTCAACAGTGAGCTCCAGAGTCTGCTCTCAGCATGTTCCCTTTGACTAAATCTGTGTAGCTCAAAGATCTGATGCGTCAGTATGACCTCTGTCCTTTCCACATGTGTATCAAAGCATACCATATACTTTATTGCACCTATTGGGGAATATCATTATAACTGCTGGCTCAGATTCACTGGGGACAGCAGTCATATAGTATTCATAGTGTAATCCTCTTTAGTTAGTATTTTAAATTTAATATTGCATGAGAAATATTTCTTGAGTAAATAAAATGTTGAATATTTGATACTCTACCTCTCCTTATTTGTCTAATCAATTACATACTTCAGAATTGAGCTCAGGTACCATTTTGTACTGGGGATTTTCCCTAAAACTTTCTTTCATCCCAGGTTAATATGTTGCCCACAACCCTTATGCAATTCTGGATCCAAAGGCTGCCATGTGCTGAGGACAGTTTATCCCTGGTAGATGGCTGTGGAAAGGGACTGTGTAGCCCAACACAACCTCTTGTAAAGGCAGGAAAATGATAAGATTGTCAAGGCAGTAAACCGTTCATTTGAAATGAGAAATTTTCTAATATATTATATCTTTTACTTTGCCACCAGATAGAGAATAAAACTCAAAAAAAAGTTGCAGGAGATGAGGCTGGTGGTATTTTAATATTTTATTTGGAATCAATATAAAATTTTCATAAAATTAACATAAATAATAACGTTCCAAAAAATCTAGATATCCTTTACAAAGACTCGACTATTGTTAATATTGGGTACTTCTTGTTTCCACACTTCTCTCGCCATCTCTTTCTCCCTCTCTTCAACTTTATATCTCATACTATTTATCCTATAAATACCACCATTATGTACTTTCTACCAATGTGGATACTGTTTTATAGAATCAGAGTGCAATGATCAACTTTAGTAAACTTAACATCATTACCCTATGATGAGATAACATATTTTTAAAGAGTAAGGAGTGAAAAACTGAAAAAACTTTCTATTACAGGAAAGCACCTTTTAAGATAGGTGTGAAAATAAGATGAGACACCATGGTAGTATTGGAATTCGAGGACTAATACTGACACAAGATTCTCAACGTCTGGTGTGCAGAGAGAAGGAAAGACACATTATTATCAAAATTTTTTACTTTATTGTTTCTTGAAAATCAGATCCCACATTCAACATTTTCTTCACAGCCCCCATGACATCCTTATTCCTTAGACTATAGATTAGAGGGTTTAGCACAGGCGTGAGGATTGTATAAAAGACAGACACCATCATATCTTTCTCAGGGCTGTGGTAGGAGCTGGGAAGCATGTAGGTATAGGTGGCAGCCCCATAGAAGAGGATTACTACTGTCATGTGGGAGAAGCAAGTGGCAAAGGCCTTTTTCTGGCCCTCTGCTGAGTTCATCCTGTAAATGGTGAGAAGGATAATGTAGTAAGAGACTAAAATGACTGTCACAGGGATCAGGAGCATGAGGACACAGCACAGATACATGAAAATCTCATAGAACGAAGTGTCTGAGCAGGAGAGTTTCAGTACAGCAGGGACTTCACAGAAGAAGTGATGGATCTCCCGGGATCTACAGAAGGGGAAGGTCATCGTGACAGGTGTGAATATGAAGCCATCTACAGACCCCAGGAACCAGCAGCCAGCCACCAGGAGGAGGCACACCTTATAGTTCATGAGGACAGGGTAACGCAGTGGATGGCAGATGGCTGCATAGCGGTCATATGCCATGGTGGCTAGAAGAAAAAATTCTGAGCCTGCTAGTGTCACATAAAGGAACATCTGCATCCCGCATTCAGGGGCTGAGATCTTATTCTCACTGGTAATCTGGTTCCTGAGCATCTTGGGCACAGTGACAGAAATGTACGCCATGTCCATGAGAGACAACTGGCTGATGAAAAAGTACATGGGAGTATGAAGGCGAGCGTCAGAATAGATCAGAAGGATCAGCAGGGCATTTTCAGACAAGGCCATCAGGAAAGTCACAAAGATGACCACACAGAGAAGAGCTGGGTGTTTGGATTGACTGAAGAATCCTGTAAGGATAAAATCTGACCATCTGGTGTGGTTGGTCTTCCAGGTGGTGGTGTCCATGAGGTCTCACCTAGGCCACCAAGGAGAGCTTTGAGGTTAATATAATTCAACCCTCTGAAATGAATATTTGTGTGTGTGTGTGTGTGTTTGAGAGAGAGAGAGAGAGTGTGATGTCTCATGGGCTGGTAAATTTGAGGATTATAAATGACTTGTAATTCAACACAATTACCAAAAAACTAAGAATTCATAACTGTGGATCAAAGGAAATGGTAACCTGTGCTAAAGTTGTCACAGTTCAGGATCATGATACTTCCTAGTGATAGATTATGTTGGTTATTAAAAAAAAATACTAGAAATGTGAAGACACAAGCACAAGTAGTAAACATTGGGGAAAAATGAAATCAATTTTCTTATTTCTTGAGTTTTTGTTGTTATTTTTAATGAAAGTTTGAATTGAATTAAACTCTCTGGTTTAAGGATCTATTTAACGGTAATTTTAAAGACTCTCAGTTATATTCCATGTAAGAAAGATTTAGAAAATAACAAAAGCATAACTTGTGGAAAATCCATACCTGTAATAAAATTTGAACTCCCTCTGTCCATAGCATTAGACAACACTGTGAGATATGTGGTTTCATGGAGCAAAACCCCATGCTTCCTCTGAGCAAAGTGGGGTGCTTGTGCACAAAAGACCCGTTAGAGACTTGAGGTTATGGTGTGATGAGCCCAGGTTTGGTGGCCAACTACAGCCATGGACCCAGCTTCCCCTCCTACCTGTCATTCGTCTGTTCACTCTACATAAGAAAAGGATGAGAAAAATTTTGACCTCAGGTTTGATGAAGATTAAATGAGGAAAAGTAATGGAACTGCTTAGAATATTATCAGTTACAGATGAATAAACACGTGTACTGTTAGAGTCAATATTTACAATATTATTAGTGTCTTATGAGATACACTACTTATTAGTGTCTTATGAGATATACTACTTTTCCAGTTTTTGTATCTATTCATGCATTTAAACATTTGGATTTGATAATTTCTCTACTTTCAGACAGTTCAGAATAATATTGCACATGTACACTACTTAATTTATATATATCTATATAAACTTTATATAAATATGTATGTATGCACACAACTATAAAAATATGTAATATGTATTTTTTGTTTTAATTTTGGTTAAGCAAGGATTTATGGAGAATCCCATCTCCTTTCTGCATTTCCCCTCCTGAAGTTCCTCTCTTTAAAGTTCCCACCACTTCACTAAATGTCAGGGAGGAAGGACTAGGATTTAGAGAGGTCTGATGAACAGCAGTGTTTTGTTAGTTGTTTTTGCAAACACCATCTATTTTATTGCCTGCACAATCAATTTTCCATGAAAGTGAGAAGTGGAGAGGGAAATCAAACAATACTGGGATGTTTCTGATGCAAATTGACTGTTTTCTCCTGTTGTTAGATACTTAAGATGAATCAAAGACAAATTAAACTTGATTGTGCTTAAGGAGGTCACAGTCAATTTCACATAAATTAGCTATATAAGTGTGATTTAAAGTACTTTAGAATACCTGTAAAATAAATGAGAAAGGCTAATAGAAGCCAAATATATTTAACTAACTCATTCTATATTTTCTTTTAAGGAAAATAAACCTTTTCAATTTCTGGCATGTTGTGTATTAAATTTTAACACTTCTTACACAGAGGAAGGATATTTAGGATTACCTTTATGAGAAGCAGTAGTTACAATACAGGAATATTTCAGGAAAAATTTTTAAGTTTCAAATACATTTTATACTCTTTTAATAATTTTAAGCCCTAGCTGGGATATGCAAATTATTAACATTTTCAAGTTTGAGGTAATGATACAATAGACAAAACGGCAAATAAATTTGATGTCTTAATATAGATATTTATCAAATCTGAGACATAGTGCATTCAAATTATATTTTGATATTATCCATTCTCATTGACAGATGGAAATTAAACTCTGTACAATTTATGAACAGTCCAATAAACTGTAAATTACACCCAATTACCTAGTCCATATTTGTGGTCAGAAAGAAGCAAGGACAAGCATTGTGACCAATATATGTGAAGACCTGAAAGCTGCTGGCTAAAGGAATTAAGGAGAAAAGGAGTGCAAATGGGGGAGGGTAGGAAAATCTCTTAAAGTTTGGAAAATCAGGGTCACTGTCATGAAGCCAACCTGAGACAACAGGTAGATGTCTACACCACACAGGACAATTGGCTTTCTTCTTCATTCTTGTTCTTCTCCATCCAATTGTTTGAGTTTCCTATAAACAGCTTAGGACATATTTAACTTGGGGAATAATGAAGAGTTTTTGGAAATATTGAATCTTTATTTAAAGCTAACAGCATCTAAGGAATTGTTCTAATGCTGATTTAACATACTTAAACTTCCTAAGAGCCAAAGAAGTACATAATCTTATAGTTACCATTTATAGATTAAAAACATCAAGTTCTGGGGTGGCACCTGTGCTCAAAGGAGTAGGGTGCCGGCTCCATATGCCAGAGGTGGTGGGTTCAAACCCAGCCCGGCCAAAAATTGCAAAAACAACCCCCGACATAAAACGTTAAGTTCTTGGGCTGTCTGCCTAGCATCACACAGCCATCCTGATAGAAGACACCTGTCAGTCCAGGTGTCAAAACTAGAGCCTATAACTCTGCCTCAGTTCTCTCGAGGATGTAGTCCTTCCTCCGTAGACTAAAATTGGGATTTTAGGCTATTGACTATCATTTACATCACAGAAACATAGATATAGTTGAAACATTTATCTCTTTCTTTCTTTTTCTTTTTGAGACAGAGTCTCACTATGTTACCCTTAGTAGAGTACTGTGGCATCACAGCTCATAGCAACCTCAAGCTCTTGGGGTTAAGTGATTCTCTCGCCTCAGCCAAGTAACTGGGACTACAGGCACCTGCCACAATACCCAGCTATATTTTTGCTGCAGTTGCCATTGTTGTTTAGAAGGCCCAGGTTGGGCCTCTTGCCCAGTGTATGCCTACCCACTGAGCTAAGAGTGCCAATCCTGAAACGTTTATTTCTATCAACAGTGTGTTTTAACTTTGGGAAATAATCCCCACTCAAAGCAAAACTAGTCATTCTTATGCTGAAAATTTTGGTCTCAGGAAAACAAATATATCATCCAATAATACAGGAAAAATAAATATTATTTTGCCTGTAAATATTTGGAAATCAAAAACTCCTTTCCTAATATGTTGCAGTATAAGATTCAAAAGACAAAAAACACATTTGCTTTTATCTATAAAAATAGATGATAGAGGAAAATGAGAAAATGTGGTGAGAAGAACTGATAGTGATTTGGAAGCTGAATAATAAAAACAGTGATTACCTGTTTGCTCCAGCAGCACTTGGTATCTGGCTGAACTCTCCATCAGACGGTGTCTTGAGTCTCATCTATATAGACTAATGAAGTGTGTCCAGGTTAAATATGCAAAACATTAGGAAACTGACATCATCCTGGGTTTACTTTGTCCATTAGGGGAGTGGATGAAGGTTATCTATTGGTTAATCACCTCTGGGATGTTATAGAAGGATGTAATTAAGAGAGCTGAAGAAGCTGGTAGATACTTAAGTTACCCTTTTCTGATTTACTTCTCATTGTTTTTTAAGAGAAAAAGTCTCAGTATGCTTCCCAGGCTGGACTGCAGTGGCTTTTTGAGGTATACCACAGTGTACCCCAGTCTCTAACTTCTGGCTTCCAGTCATCCAGCTGCTACATGTGTGTATCCCCTCCTTAAACTTCAAGAATACATAAAACAGAGAACAAGGTAGAAGTAACTTATGAACTATTGCTATTTGCATTCATATCTTTCACAGATATAGACATTGATTCTCAGAGTTCAGTTATTGTGTCAAAGTCATAACCACTAATCAGTCATATAATCAAGACTAAAATTGAAGTCTTCAAATTTTCATTTCTATCCCTCTTCATTCAGTTACTACTACTTCTATCACTCACTTGGAATCTTTGTTGCTTCAATGATGCATTTAATTTCAAAGTGTTTGCTTTTTTCATTTTCTTTTTTTTGAGACGGAGCCTCAAGCTATCCCTCTGGGTAGAGTGCCATGGCATCACGCTCACAGCAACCTCCAACTCCTGGGCTCAAGCGAGTCTCCTGCCTCAGCCTCCCAAGTAGCTGGGACTACAGGCGCCCGCCACAACGCCTGGCCATTTTTTTGGTTGCAGCCATCATTGTTGTTTGGCGGCCCGGGCTGGGGATTCGAACCCGCCACCTTAGGTGTATGTGGCTGGCGCCTTAGCCGCTTGAGCCACAGGCGCCGAGCCAGCTTTTTTAATTTTCAATGTTGATATAATAAAAAAAACCTAAACACACAAATGATACCAAAAATGTAAAAATCAACCATAATATAATCACCCAAACACAAATAAAGCTTTAAAATTTGTGTCTTGACTCCAAACTATAATTACTTATGGAGCACACATCCTGAGCCAGACAATTGACATAAAACAGAGAACAAGGTAGAAGTAACTCCTTCCTCTTAGATCTTGCAAAATGGAGAACAAGGTAAAAGTAACTCCTTCGTCTTGGATCTTGCAAATAGATATTTCTGTTAGTTCTACAATGATGTTTATCATGCTCCCATCACGTGGAGATCTTTTCATGGCATCCTTTGTCAGCCCCACACTGAAGCTCTGGAAAGCTGGAATTTCCTTTGACTTCCAGAGCTTCACCTGTGGAAAGCTTGTTACTCCTCACTACCTGATTTCCTGTAAGACTTTGATGGGACACTGATGTGTACAGAGGGAGGAAAAAATATCTGGTGATGGTCTCTGGCAGCTGCAGCAGCTATGGGCAACAGGGATCATGTGAAGGTTCAGGTTCCAGCACCCTAAGTTAGTTTCAGAGACATGAAGCCCTAGAAGAAAGTGTGGGGAAAATTCTTAACATTATTGATCTATGTAAAGAATTTATGAAGAAGTGGGGAGGAGCAAGATGGTGGCAGAGTAACAGCTTCCTTGCAACTGGGCCTGGTGAGACTGGGGACAGAAGACTC